ACAATGTATCAGCCATAACAGTCCTCGAATCCAGTTATTATTTCCTTTCGATTCTTCTTTCATAGTCTCTGCATCTTGTCCTTTTCCTGCTTTGCACTAACTACCCTTTTCCTAAGCCACATCATATTATCTGCTTCTGAATGTGCCTCCTGGTCATTCCTGCTTGAAATAACCAGGAAAAAAGTCTTTCTAAAACAAGAATTGTATAAGGTATCCCTCTTTTCAAGTATTCAGTGGCTTCCTATTGCTAAGATGATCAGAATGCTAAAGTGGGACACTCTGATATTGACTCCTATTAATGAGCACAAACCAGAACGGTCGGGAAAGCCAGGACTTGAAGCCCACCTACCCACCGCTGCCTCTTGTGCATTTCAGGCTCACCAGGCTAGTCTGAAGGGTGGACTCAAAACTGAACCACGGCATTAATTTCTTTTATGCTTATATGTTTAAAATTTATGATGTGTTGACATTCTAGCATAAGATATACCTACATTTGTTTTAATAAACGTAATGTTTTAACTACAAACCATTTACAGGAGGAAAAAATCAAACATCTTATGAAAAGTCAGGGAGCAAAGTTTACCTTTAAGAAGGCCTACTGTCGGGGTGCAAGTCTGGAAAGCCCCATGCAGTGTAGTCTGCGAAAGTGCTGTGTCTGGAGCCCTGAAAATGCCCGCCATGAAGACCGGGGGGGGGAGAGATGAAGTGGGGTGAAGTGATCGGCCCTTCATGGGCCTCCCAAGAAGAGCCTTCGCTACGATCCCTTAGGTCTTCATTTCCACGTCAACAATAATAAATACTTTCTCTTCTCCTCCTTACTTCCCTTGATACTGTTCAGCCTTTATGATCTAGAGCCATTAGCCATGGTTGCCATATAAAATACAAGGTGTCCAGTTACATTTGAATTTCAGAAAAACATGATTTTTTAGTATGCTCTGTGCAATATTTGGTTTAAAATTTAACTGAGTGCCCCATATTTTTATTTGCTAAATGTGGCATCCCCACCTGTGAAGCCATTCTTGACCACCCACCTCACTGCCACGAGGCTACAGGGCTGCACTGGGCTTCTAACCCGAAGCGTCTGTGTCTCATTTGCTGATTCCCCTACTTTACATCTACTTTTTATCAATTTTTTATATCCATATACTCCACCTACCTAACTTGGAAACAATAACACTCTTATATCTCCGTAATTCCATGATGCTTCACAGACTCCTGCCCAGAGGCAGTGATCATAAATACTTGTTAATGGAGAAACTGATTTTAAATCAATCAACAAGACAACCAATAAAATTACTTCCTGAGCAAGCCCTTTCTGGCCCGTCCAGAGCTAGTATGTAAATTATCTGATAGATGAGTAACATGTAATGTTTGGCTTCAAAAAGCCAACGGATTCACTAATAAAAAGTACACACAAGAACTAGTAGCAAATGACTCCAAACAATATGTAAGTGAGATTGTGTGACACGGCCCACGTGTAAGAAATCAGTGCGGGTCGCCCCCCAGTGGAGGGGGTGGGGAGGAGAAGGGCCTGTATCAGGACTTAGGTTTTGGAAAGGGTTTATATGCACAGAGGCCGAGCGAGGCCGTGCTTCCCAAAGGGAGGTGTGCGCAGCCGCGGTGAGTGAAGCGGAAGCAGCACAGCGCCTTCGCAGAGGGAACCAGCCGGGATCCCCCTGAGCAGTGGCTGCGGCTGGTGTGAGAGGCTCCCTGGGATTCCGAGCACTTGTGTCAGTGAGAACTGTAAAGGCCGCCCAGGAGCAGGGCCATGCCTACACCTTGGGAAAGATGATGACCAAGGTGGGAACCAAAAAAGTCACCCACAGGGTTTTCCAGATTTTATTCTCAGACCACCGAAGAGATGAACGACAGACATTTTATCAGTCACTGTCTCAGCTGCTCAGGTTGTTGTAACAAAGTACCACAGACAGGGTGGCTTATACATGATAGAAACTTATTTCTCACTCTTCTGAAAGCTCAGTGTTCGTGACTGGATTATTCCCCAAGGTCCCACTCGGATACCATCACAGTGGGGGTTAGATTTCAACGTACGAATTTGGAGGGGGGCATAGAAATATTCAGTCCAAAACGGTAATGGTTATGCATCATGCACAGGGCTCTGAACGTGCCGGTCCCTGACAGTCCCTACGCTCCCCTCCCCTCACTAGCTTCTTGGGCATTATTAGAGCAGTGGTCTTACTGAAAGTTATGGAATTTAATTTCCAAGAAACTAAAGACAAACACTGAGGAGTGTTCTTTTTGGTAGAAATTCATGTTCCTCTACAGCTTTAAACTATTACTATGGTATGAGATAGAAAATCATTTATTTTTATGTTTGGACTAGCTCTTCCTAATAAAGTTGGTATTTGTAACATGTAGTTTTAATATAGTTGTCCTTCAGTATACATGGAGAATTAGTTCTGTACCCCTGTGGATACCAAAGTCTTGAGCATCTAACGATTTTGTAATGGTGCTGTATTTACATATAACCTAGACATTTCCTTTCCTAGACTTTAAATCACCTCTAGGTAGTTTGAAATAACTATAGCATGTAAATTCTGTGAAAATAGTTTGTTATACTGCATTAGTTAGGGAATAAAAATCTATATATTCTCAGGACAGAGAAGTTATTTATTTCAAATATTTTTGACCCACAGCGAGTTTAACTCATGGATGTAGTACACACGGATACGAAGAGCCTACTGCATACTTAATCTCACAAAACGTTGTGGTTGCTATATTGCATTTTCTTACGCAGTAAAAGGTACTCCCATCTTACAAAGACTGGATGTTGCTGTTTTCAATCAATCGATAAAGTTAAATGTATTAAATCTCCAAAAGTGTTATCCTCTTGTACAAATTATTTATTTTTTTATTTTTTGGTTTTTCTCTGGTACCAGGAATCAAACTCACAACCTTGCACTTGCCAGGCAGGTGCTGTGCCGCTGAGCTAAATCCCCAGGCCCCCTTTAAAAATTATCACTCGCACTGAGCACCTATGTAAAGTCCTGCTTACATCTTTAGAAGTGATATAATTTCATTAACCAAATACGGAAATAAGGTAAAGAAATATGGTTCAGCTTTCTAAACATGCAAAGGCATTCAAGAAAATTTCTCAGAATGGGTCTTGCCAGGGCTTTTGTGGCACATGGCAAATTGTGTTGCTTACTTTAAGAAAAAAGCTCACGGAGATTTCCAAAGCGGGTCCTCTGGATGTGTGAGGCTGAGCTATATGAATGTGACAATATTCCATCTTTGCGTGCAGTTCAACTATACATCAACATACCCACCCCTGGGCCCATGGACCTCGCCCTAACGGAGAGCTAGAAAGCCTGTGGGCGGGCTTGAGACAGCCCAGCTGTTGCATTCCATCCAGAAGTCCGTCTTTGTTGCCGGCCACTTTGGTCTCTGTTAAGCTCAGTTTCTTTACTTATAAAATTAAGGTGGGCCATCGACCTAATAATCCCTTAGAAACCTGTCTAACATTCGAAGGCTTAAAGCCCCTAGTTGTTGGATCTGTTTCCTGCTGGCTGACGAAAGATACGCCTGTCTGTAATGTGTGAACTCGTCCTCAGGGAATTCCCTCCCTCCCATGGTAGCCCATCTCCTTTGGGCTCCAGGGACGGTTAGAAACCTGCCGAGGTGCAGATGTCACCAGGGAGGTTCAGTCTGAGAGGCGGTAGCATCTGTGTATTTCCTGTCACAAGTTAATGCGTGATATGCCCATCAATTTTCTTCCATTTTCTCGATTTGTTAGTTCAATACATTAAGTTAATCTAAATTAATGGTGAGAGGCTCCCCCTTTGTTCACATCTGGTGGTCTTCAGACACTTATCCGGGTGATCACAAGTACTCACTCAGTACCCACCAAGTTTACCTGGACAGGAGCCCTCCTGGAGAAGAAAGGAGAAAATGAAGCGGGTGGGAGCGGGAGAGTGAAGGAGCAGGGCAAAGAGCCTGGACTGCTGCTGCTGTTTGGCAGCTTAGCGCCCAAACTGATTTTCAGAGGGAGGGAGGAGATCCTCATCCTTCCCCACCGGCTCTCAGCTCTAAGTGTGTCCGGGAGGAGGACGAGCTGAGACACTGCTCTTGGGGATAAAAGAAAGCACCAAGAAATGGCCCTGGAGGACGGAGCTGCTGAACAACTGCCCTGCTGTGTCCTCTAATTGTCCTCCAATGAGCTTGCAGTGGCTCAGGCTGAAGCCTCCTGAATCTCAGGTGCAGTGGACTCTGCACACTTACTGCAAAGGATGCTGTCTCTGCACGGTTGTGGTCAGCTTCCTCTTCCCGTCTAGCTCTCAGGTTTGTCTCTCCCACCCTGCTACATCCTAATGCTTTCTACCTTCCTTTTTTTCTCTGCTGCTTACACAGAATCTGCTGTGACATGCTATTCACATCCTCTGTAGTAAGGAGCGTGGACATGGTCTGCTTACATCTTTCATTCATTTGTATTTGATGAAGGAAAGAAGCAAAACAGCACACCTGGTGATATTCACTCTGCAGGAGGCTGTCGTTATTATTCAGACTTAGAGAAGCATTAAGACAAAGTTCAAAAACTCAAAGCTCCTAACCTTCAGCCCTTCCGTTTCAGCCTACAAGGAAAAAATGAAGGAGCTGTCCATGCTGTCACTGATCTGCTCTTGCTTCTACCCGGAACCTCGCAACATCAACATCTACACTTACGACGGTGAGTGGCTGACCGCGGAAATCCCGGCTGGCAGCTCATCTGCAAAGCTTGTGTGTATTGCTTCTGTCCCTCTGTTCCTGGTGTAATTAAGTCGTTATCTTGTAGATCTCGACATTGACTTGTTTGTGGTGCTGTTACGTCTTATTGATTGTTTATTGCTCAAAACAGTCTGAATTTGGTGCTAATAACAATACATTCATGTCTCTTAAAAAGCATGGCTGGGTTGTCATTAGCAGCTATATCCAGCATATCAAAATCTACAACGTCTAAGGCTCATTTTTGCAAATAATATGATAAACTGTAATTAAACTGGGTCATAATTTGCAAGAAAATACTTTATACTTAGAGGACTTGAGAGAGAAAATCAACTTCCTGTATGAAGTCACCACAGTTTGTGCATATATGTCAATGAGCTAATAATAACTGAATTAATGAGATAAACTTATTTATGACTGAAGCTCCATGTAAAGAGGATTTAAACTGACAAACCTAAAGAGCTGGTATAACAATTAACTTTATCGACAAGCAACCTTTTAGGTTTGATTTACCCTTATTCATTGTGTTTGATTTGGTTTCCTTTCCGGCTCTGCCATCCATGCGGCCCCAGCCAAGCAGACAAGAGGCCGGGGCTGTTAAGAGGGTTAAATGACTTAATGCGAGTCGCTCAACACTAAGCCTGGCCTCTTATACGCACGTGATAGTAGTAGCTATCATTATCAACAGTATCATCACCTACTTCATTCAATCCGATCCAAATATTCAGTGCAGTTATATGTGGACTAAATACAGCTGTGGTACATTTTTCCCCCCCATAGGCTCACAATTACTTTTCCTTTCCACCTGTGTAGAGAAAGACATTAAAGACCAGGCAAAGTGACCTTGTGGCACATAAAACCTTGAGGGCCTTTAATGTGTAGTTGAGGCATTTTCCTTCCAAAGCTATCAGCTCCAGCATGGGAAGTGCTAATGAACTGTTCCTGAAGGAAATGCCCTCCAGGTGAAGGAATTTCAGTTTGCAACCAAAACTGTCATTAGCATACAGGCCCAGCACCTGCTTTGTGTAAGTTCATTCAGTCAACAAATAAACTACACAGATCTTTGTTATCTGCCAGATGTCGCTGCCACTCCACACAGATGTGAGACTCCAAAATCTAGCAGTGTGCTGTCACTGAGAGTCTGAAGATGAATGCACTGTGGTCCTCACTTTCAAGGGACTCAGGGCTTAGTCCAAGATCATGTACAGAAATGTCAGGAAGTAGAGTGGCTAGGACAGAGGAAGTTGATAGTTCAGGGACTGAGCAGAGGGGTAGAGGAAAAGCAGACTATGGATCAGCCGCCTCTTAGAAGTTGAAGGCGATTCCACATCATTCGTTTACTGCTTCCCAAAAAACAATGGCAGAGAATTTCACGTTTCCCGAAGTCTTTCCCTTGACCTTGTATTTTTGTCTTGATAATAATGTGAATTATTTATTGCAGTGAAACATTATTACTAGTACAATATCCCTGTCACCACAAGTAATAGCATTTTCTTCCTTTTGAAGCCTGAATCATATTCCATGTAGGTGAGCACAAATTAGAGAAGAGGCTCTCCCCTCCCACCCGGCCCCACCCTTTCCCCAGCTCTCGTCTGCAGCTAAGGTGTGCCGCAGCAAAGCAGGAGCAAGGATATTGTGTCTCCACTAGACTGTAACCCTCTGAAAACAAAGATACTTGTGACAGAGAGGTCACTAAATATGCTCAATCTCTGGGCACGACAGGCACACTGATGCACAAGAAAGGACCAGAGGATGCTTTGCACCTTAACACTGACTTGGCCAGTATTTCCAACCACTCAGGGAATTACATTTCTTCTAACACAGCATCTGTGATTTCCTACCACAGGAGCAGTTACTTCATAATGATGTAGATAGGTAGGTAGATAGAATATGGTAAGATAGATGATTAGATAGATAGATGATAGATTGATAGATAAATAGGTAGATAGATAATTTCTCATTATATGTAAAGACTGGAGACTTCTTGTTATTTTCCTTTTGACCTGACAAAAAAAAAAAATTGAAAATGTCTCCACTCATGGTTATTTCAAAAAATAAATAAATAAATATATCCTACTTAATGTTCATGCAAAGCTCGTATTTATTCAAAAGGAAAATAAAACGTAGTTAAAATCAATTCAGGCTATTTTTCTAAGTATGCTTCCCATTATTCAGCTCCCTGTAAATATTGCTGCATTTTTCAACAGTGTAAATATTTCTTATGTTAAAATATATCCACAGTTATGCTGAAGGGAGAGGTCTTACCTGTTCAAACAGTGTAGACCAGATTGTCATATGCAGCATTTTAGCTCTGTTTCCCAGAATAACAATGCTACTTGCAAGCCCTGGAATCTAAATTATTAAAATCAACCCAGGCTTCGAGTTGTGCATACTTAATATTCTCTGTTATTTCTTTCCTAGATATGGAAGTGAAGCAAATCAACAAACGTGCCTCTGGCCAGGCTTTTGAGCTGATCTTAAAGCCACCATCTCCGATCTCAGAAGCCCCTCGAACTTTAGCTTCTCCGAAGAAGAAAGACCTGTCCCTGGAGGAGATCCAGAAAAAACTGGAGGCTGCAGAGGAAAGAAGAAAGGTAACTTTTTCATAGGCTGTCTCTCTCTGTCTGTCTCTGTCTCTGTGTGTCTATCTCTCTCTGTCTCTGTCTCTGTCTTCTATCTCCCTCTCTCTTTCACACACACACACACACACACATGCACACACACACGCACACACACATGCATCTAGTAGAGATTCCAGGGAATAGTGATGCCTGAACCTGCAGGCGTGCCCCATTTTAACACATGTAAGTTTTCAATAGACATAGAACCTGGTTTTGGGTGTATGAACTCAGTTGGGGTAAGATGAATGCTGGTTTCAGGCTAGCCTAGACCAGATCTCTCCGAGAATAAAAGATCTTCAGTGCCCGCATGCCCCTCCTCCCTCTTGGGGGTCCTAGCCCCAGCCCCCTGCACCCTCAAGCCATCAGCACAACTGAGAGAAAGCACAACCTCAGGGACCTCCAGAGTGACAGAAGTAGTAATTTCCTTTTTGGGATCCTCACCACACACACCCCCCCCCCAGCTTAGGGCACAGTTTTCCTCAGAATTATCATTTACCGGAACTTCCCTCCGAGATCTTTCCAGCCCACGTGTGCTTTGCCCCCAGAGTACGGGCTGGAGCCTGCCCCTCTCCTCTCCAGGGCCTCACTGCCCCTGAAGCTAGTCCTCCTAAAATCCGGACTTTCTGAGACCCCCGAGCATCTTCTTCCACCATTCCTGAGCCCAATGAGACCTTGTCCTCTTTTTGCCATTGGTCCCTGCTTGTATTAAAACTTTTCTTTGTCAAATTGTAATAATGTTCCACAATCAGGAGCTAAGAAAAGCCAGTAGTATCAACATTTGAGAGTGCTAAGAAATTTTAGGGACTCCATACACACAGAGGTTATGTCCAGACGTATCTGTTCCAGCTGTGTGGTCACGGTAGTTCATCCCACCGAAGCCACTCCGTCATCCGGAAGTGGCACTCTTTTAGGTAACATGTCCCCACGTTGCACTTCCCACTTACTTTTTCATGATATACTTTAAGACTCAAGTAGTCATTTAAGAATATGTTCTATGCAAGTTTCTATTATAGTGGTGGAACTTCCATTTTTAATATTTTTTCATTTTATGAAGATATTGTCTATAAAGTTAGCCAACATATTAAAAACTTTTCTATTGGATAATTACAAAGAAAATGAAGAACATTCCTATCTCCTTTTTTTTTGGTCTTTTTGAGACAGGGTCTCGCTATGCAGTTCAGGCTGGCCTTGAGCTCACTTTGTAGCCCAGGCTGGTCTCGAACTTGCACCAATCCTCCTGCCTCAGCCTCCCGAGTGCTAGGATTATAGGCGTGGGCCACCATGCCCGGCTCCTATCTCATAATGACTGAATTCTCCTACAGCAAATAGACAAACACAAGTGTGTGTGAGAGGTATATGTACACACACACACACATGCACATGTACACAAATACATACAGTATCAGATAACAAGGATCAAAGACTAGAAACTCGCAGATGAAGTTTTCTGAATAAAAAATACTAATTTTTGGCTGAAAAAACCTTCCTACTAGTTCATATGCTAATATCAATGTCAGTTTTCACCAAAGTGAAGTTCTCTAAGGGCCAGATGAATATTTAGTATGTATATGCATGTATATATGTGTGTGTGAATATATATATATGTGTGTGTATGTGCATACACACATTACCAATTACTGCTATTATAATTATAGATTTTAAAGAAGGAAACTGAGCTACTAACCCAAGAATATGAACAGGAATTAATTTTTATTAGCTTTTTGGTTGCTGTCATTTTAGCCCTCTTCACAGGGCAAAGCTACATGAAATTATTCAGAACTGCAGCCCATCAAGACTTCATGGCCAACGGTAACAAACAACAAACTGAAGCCGGGGAGCGTGCACTGCGCACAGGCAGGGAGGTTTTCACCCAAGCGCTGACATCGTTTAGATGATAGGTTCAGGCACAGAGCGAGTCATGATTGCCAAACACAGATGCGTGACTTGATTGGAGTGCAGTGAATGACTCTCCTGAACCTCAAACTCTGAATCAAAATTCAACCCCGTGGTTTAGGACACTGGTGATGTTCCTGGGTAGTGTGTTTAATGCAAGAGAAATTACTGAAGGAAAAAGAATTCAGAGATGATCAGATGCTCTCATAAAACTCCATCAGGTAACTAATGTTTCTAGTAAAATTCTTGCACCCTGGCAGCAATAAATTATCAAAAATTTTACATTTAAACAATTGGATTTAAATAGAAAATGAAACATAGCTGTAATACATTTGCAAATCTAATCAGTCGGCATTATGATGCCCAGAAAAAATATTCTTTAGAAGCAATATTCCATCTCATTTCTGATATTATGTGTTTAAAATTTTCAGTGCAAAACTCACTATGTAGCTTATGTATTGGTAGTGAAGTTTTAATTAGAAGTATAACTAATTAACAGAAGCACTAACTTAAAGATTCATCAATTGATTTTATTCTATTGGATTATAGTACTGGCTTAATGAGTGCTGATTTGAAGAACTATTACTTCTCTTTAAAGAGTCATGAGCAAGGGCATATATCTTCATAACGATCTTAATGAGGACAAGGAAACCACCGAAATCCAATTGAACTAGCTAAAACAAAGTGTAGACATGTGACTAAATGTCTGAGTTTGACTGCAGCTTCAGGAACAGCTGAATCCAGGGGGTCAGGCAATATTGTCAGAAAACTTTTTATATTTATCATTTCTTTGTGCATCAAATGAGTTTCATTTCCAAGAAAATTGAGCTCCAGTCAACCCCAAATTGCTTTTCTCACATCATAGCATCTCCAGCAGGAACGGTGCTTCTCTTTCCAAGTAACTAACTAAAGTCCCAGAACTGGGTCTCAGAGGCTTTACCTGGATCACCTGCCTAACCCGAACCACTCGTGGTCGTCAGGGGGATGCAGTGCTTTGGTTTGCAAACCTGGGTCGCCTGCCCAGCACTGAGCTGCAGGGAAGTGTAGGCCACCTCTCGGGTGAGAAGTGGGAAGGGTGGTTCTCCAAAAGAAAATGGGGGCATTTTTACCCGACGGTAGTTTGCAGTCTGGCAACCATTGTTGCATTCCTACCATCTTGTTTAGTGAGGTTCTGTATCATTTCTAATGCTTTGTTGTTGTTGTTGTTGTTGTTATTTTTGATTTTCTTTAATAGTTTGCTCAGTCTTGCGTTCTTACATCTGGTAATCTGAGCAACTTCGTTGAAGATAACAGTATGTACTATAACAACCATTGTTAATTTCCTATCATCTTGTTTTGAAATTCTGTATCATTTTTATTGTTTTTGTGTTGTTTTGTTTTTGTCTTTGTTGTTATTTTGTTAATTTTTTTCTCTTTAAAGTAAAGAAGAAAGGAAAATAGACATGCTAAATTACAGATGTCCATCATCTTTCTCTGCCGATGTTTAGGGTCACTATAAACATAAAATAATTATTTAGTTTGTGTACTACTCAACCTGTCATACTTGCTGTTCCCTTCTTTCACCCTATGTATGATTTTTTATATAAATATAATGAAAAAAGCAATCTATGCACCTGTATATAATAGCACTCTGCATTAGAAATACAAAGTGAGACACATGTATTTCAAAGTTTTCTAGCAGCCACATTAAAAAAGAATCATATGAAAATAATTTTAATATGTTTTAACCCAACATATTCAAAACCATTTCAACATGCAATCAGTATAGAAATACTAGTGAGACCTTTCCCATTCTTTTTGTTCATATGAAGTGTGTGAGCCCCAGTAAGGATTTCATATCTGCAGTGCACTGGAATTCACAGTCACGGCATCTGAAGGGTTCAGTAGGCGTGCGTGGCGGGTAACCCAGGACGGGGAGAGCTCAGCCCCAGTGCTCAGGCCAGAAAGCAGCGTGCACTGGGGCAGCGCTATGCCTGTGTTTTGAAAGGTGGTACCGGACAATTACTCTGACTCAGCATTTTGATCGTGTACTGCCCAAAGACTGATGCAGACATTCAGAGAGACAGAAAAAGCTCCCACGCTATGCTGGCCACGGTGCTGTCACCGTAACCAACGGGAGTGAAGGGCAGGCGCTAGTCTCGCACTTTCCTCCGTGGCCCCGATGATCTCTGTGCACGTGGATTCTCCACCGGACAAGGGACTTCTCCGTGCCCAGATTTCGTCTCTTCTTTTCGCTCCTGGGACCCGGTTTTCTTCAGGAGCACTAAGCATAACTGGTAACCGTATTCTTCTTTGCATATTTGTATCCATCCTTAATACCTCTCCTCCAGTTACAACTTCATTTTAAGTGAATAAATAAACTATAACTCTTAGGGCCAAAAGTTAAAGTGGCAGTATGCAACTCATTTTGATTTTTTTTATCCTATCCTCCCCTTCTAAAACAGAAATAGTCAATAAATCAAGTCACTGCACTAAGTAAACTCTATAACCCAAGTAACCCCTAGTCTATCGACCTCTATTTATTAAACATTTGATATTGCTAAGCACTAGCTCACCCTCACCAACCTTAGATCCCAATGAGAAATAGCTAATATATATATATATATAATGTCAAAGAATGCAAATTAAAGCAAGCCAGTGGGAACTGAGGATGTAGGCAAAGCAGCCGTTAGCATGGGGCAATCAGAAAAAATCTCTTAAGTAAGAGAACCTTTGAGAAGAAGCATGAAGGGAATGAAAGAGCAGCACATGCAGTTTTTCTACAGGGCCAGAGTATTCCCAGTCATCAGAACAGCAAGTGAAAGGGCCTGAGGCGGGAGTGTGCTGAGCGTATTTGAGGACAACAGAGAAGCCGTGAAACTGAGGTGGAGAACACAAGTGGAGACCTCGCAGGACCTGAGGCCAGAAGGCAGCATCTTAAGGACTTTGACCTCAAGGGAAATGGAGGTCACAGAGGAGGATAAATACGCGTCATTACTTCATATGAATCATGGTAGCTTTTCAAAAAACTGAAATTTCTAAAGGGAGGTAACTAGAAAAATAATTTTAGCCAATTAAAGAAAACTGGAAAATATTCCAAGCCAAGACAGTGATTTCCAAACTAGGGAAGCACAGAGGTAAAAATGCATGAAGTGTTCTCAGGGCAGTGCCACTCGGAGCAGTGGACCTGGGTAGGTAGTGAGGAGCTGAGGTCGTGAGGACCTTCCTCGCCAGGCTAGTGTGAGGTTGTGAGGGCCTTCGCCGCCAGGCTAGTGTGAGGTTGTGAGGGCCTTCGCCGCCAGGCTAGTGTGAGGTCGTGAGGGCCTTCGCCGCCAGGCAGTGTGAGGTCGTGAGGGCCTTCGCCGCCAGGCTAGTGTGAGGTCGTGAGGGCCTTCGCCGCCAGGCTAGTGTGAGG